TCCTGGTTTTCAGAAGGCGAGATGGCTCTTTGCTGAACGAAAAGCCTGCGCATCATGGACAATTTGCCTCCTAACTTGTTTTTTTTTATTTTAGTCATTGGTGCAATTTGAATAAATAGATAGCATCACATTTTATATTTTAAAAAAATTAAACTGGTCAAGCCTAAGAATTTTTTCTAGTTTTATTTCGATGTATAAAATATTTACTTAGATGAAATAAAGATTTAAAAAAAAACATTCAAGTATTTTTATTTAGATGATGACTTGTTTGCTTCAAAATTTAATGGGTAAGTTTTTGGTTAAAATTATATTTCAATTAAATTTGTTACTAGAAATAAGCAGATGGGAAATATATTATGTGATCTGGTGTTGGGTTGATCTAAAAGTAATTTTATATTGTAACAAGAAAATAAAATATGACTGAAATGCTTAATGAAGCACATTCATATTAATAACACATGCATTAGACACAATTTTACACACAGATAATAACTAATTTTTATAAAAAGGATTCCATGAAAAATAAATTCAAGTATAGACATTAAAAGCATCGTACAATTCCTTCAACTTTCAAGTGTTTATTTAATAAATTTGTCAGAAAAACTTGAACTATATATACATACACATACACACATATATATATATATATATATATATATATATATGTGTGTGTATGTGTGTGTGCATATAAAATTACTTTCTTACTATTTTTTTAAAATTTACTAATTCATCTTCTTTCTTTCCCAGATTTGTATCCTGATTGGAAAGGAAAATTACTGGTCAAGTGCCATATCTGTGACAGGATGTTTGCTAATAAATATAATTTGAGGGTACACATACGAGACAAACATCAGGCTCCTGCATATTCTGTTTTTTGCCACATCTGCTCCAAACCGATGAGGAACCACAGTTGTCTAAGAGTGCATCTGTATCAACATAGGAAAAGTGCAGAAGGTGGAGGCAGTTAGGGTAAGGTAGTAGATTTCATTAATTATTTGCCAAGTGCCAAGTAAAAAAATTAAGGGTAAATTCCACACATATATCATTATGTTCAAATGTATTTTACGATTATGTAATTACGTATAAATATATTTACGTATAAATATTTTAAGAACACTTCAAACCGCGTACTTTGAATTACAAGTTGCTTGTAATAACAATTAGATGCATTTTATTATTGTTATTTTAATTATGTGTAAGATTTAATTAATAGATCTGTTTAATTAATTTATCTGTTAAACTTTATGATGTTTGAAACATTTATTTTCAAGCGTTTCTAGAAGAAACAATTTTTTTGTAATAATTTAATATAACGAAATAAGCAAGTTGTAAAATTTATTATATCATCTATCGTCTAAAGCAGGGCTTCTTAAACTTTTATCATTCGCGACGCCATTTACGATTGTGAATTTTTGGTGACCCCAGAATTAAAAAAAATTATATTTTTACATGATTATTTACTTGGTAACAATATACAAATGATATATATAGTTCAAAAATTCGTTGACAACATAATAAAAATTAAGACGTGATGTCATGATA